GGCTTCAACCAGTTTTCCACCGCGTACGTCGCTAGTACCGCGAGTAGTAGTACTAGTAATAGTCTGGATGCCACAGCCCAGCCTTTCATACCAAGTGTGACCCAGTCTCAGGAAGAAAAGGCCACTCCAGCTGACTCAGATAATCAGCAAGCACTGGAGTCAGATACTAGCAGTACTGGTATCAGGAGAGGTGTTAGTGCAGCAGCTGAGACTGTACACCAGGAACAGTGGCAACCTGGTCAACCAAGTAAGCAGGTAGATCCTGCACTGACTCGACTGAGTACTACTGCCAGCCAGTCATCAGTGACCCAGACTAGCCAGACCGGAGCTGTCACTGCTAGCTCATCAGTCAGTATGACCACCAGCAGCACAGGGGATGGAACCAGTTCACTACATGTACCTGCCCCAGTAAGTGCACCACTGTACACTCATGCACATGCCGGAATATCCAGCAGTACAGGTACAAGGAGCAGTAGTGCAAGGGTAGCAGTCAGTACTAGTAGTAGTAGTGCAAGGGTAGCAGTCAGTACTCGTAGTAGTAGACCAGCTCTGCCAGCAGTGCGCATGTCCGCAGTAGCGCAGCCGGCACTACCAGCACCACCACAGCCACCACAACCGGCAAGGGCAGCTGTCGGCCAGGACCTGTGGAGGCAGCTTAAGCGAGTATCGATTCCAGTATTCCGTGGGGACAAGAAGCAGTTTCCAAGCTGGAAAGCAGCATTTCTGGCATCCATTGATCAAGCTCCGCTGACAGCCGAATACAAAATGCTGCAGCTGCGGGAGTACCTGGCAGGCGACGCATTGAGAGCAGTAGAGAATCTGGGCCATTCTGCCGCTGCATATGAAGCTGCCAAGACCCGTTTGGAAAGAAAGTTCGGCACAAGTCGGCGACAGGTGAGCCTGTACCTCGAGGAGCTGGACAGATTCCGACCCATCCGTCCGGAATCAGCAAAAAACGTAGAACGATTTGCTGACCTACTTGACGTGGCAGCCATCAATCTGACGGATATGCAGCGGACTGAGGAGCCGGGCAACGGTTCCCTGTAAGCCAAGCTGTTGCCTAAAATGACGGAAGCCATGGTAGTCAACTATCAACGCTGGCTCTACGAAAACCACGAACCCGAGAATGTGGAAACCCTGCTGACCTGGGTAAACCGTGAGGCAGAATTCGCAGTCATAGCTGCCGAGTCAGTCCGGGGAGTGACATCACACACCCGTCAACAGGAGTCCAGCACTGCACGGCCAAGGGACGTGAGCAGCCATGGACGAGGAGCAGATCGGCGTACCTCGCATCACACCTTCGTGAGCTCAAGCACTAGTGGCGACCTGCCGAGCCGCAACCGCTCTTGTCCAGCATGTGGCCAGGGTCATCCAGTCGCAAAGTGTCACAAGGCGTTGGGCCACAGCACGAGGAGCCGCATTGTGCTACAGGTGTTTAGGCAGCGGGCACAGTGGGTCGAACTGCACACGCAGCCGCACCTGTGGGATCGACGGCTGCACGGAAACGCACAACCGCCTGCTCAACTCATCAAACAGTGACACCAGTATGGACCCTGCGGTGAGGAAACCAGCTGGAGCTCAGAGCAGGAACAACCAGGGTATGGCAAAGCCAAGAGCAGCACCCAGTCAACCAGACAGGCCAGGCCAGATGTCTGGGCCTCCCTCATCCGTCATGAACACGGAAGGGGAGTCAGTGTCCGAAACCGGTGCGCATGCCAGAACACATCACGGCCAGCAAGTTGAGCCATAGACAGCCCTGCGGACAGTGCCGGTGACCTTGGTAAACGGCAACCGCAAGATTGCGGTGAATGCCCTACTCAATGACGGCAGCACCGTGCGTAGCATCGCAGCTGAACTGGGTCTGGCAGGAGAACAAAAGAGCATTACGGTGTCTGTCCTCAACAGAGCAGCGACAACGTTCAACACCACCTCAGTGAACTGTCAAATCAGCAGCCGTCCTACCGGTAGTAGCTATATTAAAACTGCTGTCTCCGAAACGCTAGATTACAATATTCCTGCTCATCGTGAAACTCAAACTGGTACCCAGTGTTCCCCTGCCATCCCTACAGCATGTGCAAGCTCTGTCTGCCGGTACTCAGCAATCTTTACACAAAGGAGAACCAGACCCGCTCTCGAGAAAATTGCGATATCGATATATTTGTAGGTGCTTGAAGTCGCTCATATGTTGCTCAGACGAGTACGACCTGATTCTTCGTCAAGGTGAGGCATGTCGCAGTCGATCCGCGTCGGTCCCGTGGAGAACCGGCCACATTTGAGTATACTCAGAGAATGCGCCGATGGAGAAATTATTTGGAATTTGAAACTAACTTGTTACTTTGTTGAGAGTGCCGATGGCACGTAACCTGTCAAGTGTCTCCTTGTCTGAGGCCCTCGGCATTATCTTTATGAGCAGCGATAGTGAGGATGAACAGTGTGATCCTTTTTACTTTTCTGAGGATGACAGCTGATGTCAATGTCTCTTTAGAATCAAACTTTAGGACACTATATCAAATTTTGAAAATCCCGATTTTTGGAGAAAATCGCAACATACACCTATTTTGAATTGACCATTCTGACATCTATTGGATATAATTATGATGTAGAAACTTTGGTTTTTGTTGCCTACTGATGTCTATGTCTCTTTAGAACCAAATTTTATGACACTAGATCAATTTTAGAAAATACCGATTTTTCGCCTGAAATGGTAGGAATCCAGGTGGTTTTGGGTAGTCCTCAAAGGGTTAAAATACGCACTCTCCTGGCAGCTACTATTAGCTGTCTTGGCCATGCTAGGGCTTATTCTTCATGCCATACTCACACAGCAGTTACACAACAAAGGCCTTCTTTGCTGTAGCTCAGAGTTTGTGTTTGAAAATGCACTCATCAAACAGCAAGTCTCATGCTGTGTGATGAATGCTTTTTTTCAAACGCGAACTCTGAGGACCAGCAGAGAAGGCCTTGGTCGTGCCATGGCTGTGTGAGTGTTGTACTACTGGCTGCATCTACTGGACTCTGAGCATTAAACCGGTACGCAGCCTGAGGATACTTGACACCAGCCTAGCACACAGTGGAGAACATGGTCAGTTTGTATCAGCACATAGTGTACCCTTGCTGTTTAGTGCGCAGAGCATGACGCAGCTCTGTCCGCAGATTGCGTGTATCAACACAATCATGTAGAGCTTAGCAACATCTCTGCACAAAGATCAGAGCTGCACAATTGCAGTTACTCAGTATACGCAGCAGAGATTGTGTTCACAGCAAGAGCATACAGCATACAGCTGGCACACACACACACACACACACACACACACACACACACACACACACACACACACACACACACACACACACACACACACACACACACACACACACACTCACACACACACACTCACACACACACACACACACACACACACACACACTCACCTTCCCACAGCCACTTCACTGTCACGGGACTGGACATGGAGAGACGCGTGATCTGACCAAATGCCTACAGTAGCAGCAGCAGCAGCAGCACACACACACACACACACACACACACACACACACACACACACACACACGCATGCGCACACACACACGCACGCGCACACACGCACGCACGCACGCACGCACACACACAAGCCAAAACGTGAAATGCAGGAAAGAGGCAAATACACCACATACTCCTTCCACTTCTGGTGAGATGCACCAAATTCTCACAAAACATTCAAAGTGGAAAAGCACAGAAACACTGCCACCGATGCATACTTTCACTTCAAGAGACTGTAAATTTGAGAGTTATAGTCAAATAAAGCTTCCTGTTTAGTGCCTCAGGCTTGTGAATAAAGTCAGAGTGTGTAGATGAACAGCGAGAGCAGGAGGCGTAAGAGCAACACTTGCCCGTACACAGTGGCGGATCCAGGAGGGGTTCGAGGGATAGATGATATGCCAAATAACGCGCAACTAGACTTGAGAGGGCATCGCACACAAGTTGCATACAAATTGTACTACAATGTGTACATGGTAGGCCCCGAGCTCTGCAGGAATGCAAGTCACAGGTAACCGTACAACTTTGAACTTTGTATGCAACTACTCTGCAATGCCCTCCCAAGTCTAGTTGCACGTTATTTGGCATATCATCTATTATGCGGCACCCCCTAAACTTTGTAAATGTACTACTGGAGACTGTACGCATGTGGATGTACATGTATCAGCTATTCAGTTTCGACTAAACTGGAACCCCCCCCCCCCCCCCTCCCTCCTGTAGAGATCGCTGGACCCACCCCCGCTACTTACATGTACACTAGGTTGCACAGCCATGTCTCTCATACATCGGTACATGGTCAGGGCTAGCTTGCGATTGCGACTTTCCCAGCAAGCGTCCAACACCAGTTGAAAGGTTGCTGCCGACAGGTTGCAGCCACTGTGCACAAGAGCCTTCAAGACGGCGTCGACCACCACCTTCAGACTAGAAGTCAGACCAGGGACACAACGCGCGCACACACACACACACACACACACACACGCACACACACACACACACACACACGTGCACACACGTGCGCACACCAACACACACACAGAAACCGAAGTGAAATCTATAGTTGTTTGGCTTGTTATCAGCACCACAAGCATTGATGCACCTAGCATCAATAAAAGACAGACTTACGGCCAATATACCTGGCGGTGGAGGAATGTGAAATGGAGAGCAAACCAAGAGAGTGGAAGATGCGGACATCGGAAAGTCATTCAAGTACATGATGTGTTCGTACTTGTTAAAAACAATTGCGAGCTGAGCAATCCCACCACTGATGGAGCATTGCACTTCATACAAGTGAATGTGTGTGGGGGGGGGGGGGCAAAATGGAAGGGACAATTTGCTTCGAAGAGTGGGTGGGTAGGTGGCAGTGGGGTTATGCCTCAGTGTGGTTCGGACCCCAGAAAACACAGTATCTAAAACCGCCTCTTGTCGTTGCTTGCTGGTGGTGGATATCTAAATTTATGAACTGCCTGCTCCTGTATCTCTTAATTTGCTGGCCCAAAATCCTATATATAGGATTTGAAAATGTGTGCATTTTATGCCGTTGTTATTGGTCATCACGACCAGTAATAACGGCATAATGGTTTTCATGGAAGTTGTAAATATGTTTGAGGCATGAATGTTCACATTTTAGATTCATAGGGCGATAATATTTCTGATGAATACCCATTTTCAGCAAAAATTGGAAATTTGAGCATATTTGTTCAGCTGCTGTCATGGAAAGGACTGAAGCAGTGAATGTGCAGAAGAACATTGCAGGTGTGGTTTCATGACGACATATCGCACATGCCGTCATGAAACTAACAGTTTTAAGGATAAAACAAGGTCCAATAAAATCTCAAATCCTATATATAGGATTCGAAAAATAGGGCACAGGCCTTAGTAATATTGGGAAGGAGATGAGCCTGAGATGTTAGTGTTTGAAAAAATTATCTTATTCAACTCTCGATATCTACTAAGACCTAGCAAGGAAGAATTGGTCACATACTTTTCTCTATGCTCGTGCCACACCCATTTTGAGTTGAAAAATATGACCAAAATCCTATATATGAGCCCCGGCCAGCGAAAACCAGCACTTGTGTACTTGATATCAATCATCAAAATGTGACGTCAAAGTTGGGGACGCGCAGTGAGCTGGCTTTTGAAGATTCTTTTTCGATCGAGTGGGTGTCTTTGTTGTCAAAGGAGTTTCAAGTGTCTTCAAATGTCTCTGGTCAATTGATTTTAGCGCTAGGTGAGAGCTCGTCACACGGAGGTTGAGTTTAGACACAGCGATGGCGACAGGTGTCGCGACAAAGACTTAGGTCCAGAGTTGTCAGCGCGAGACTCCCTGTACGGAGCGGCGCTGAAAGTTAGTTCGCGATCGGAATTATTTGTTTGGTGGCGATCTTGCTGAGCTTGTCCAGCAGTGGCGAGTCTCATATGCATAGCAACGAGGAGCCCTCATAAAATCGACACTGGATACTGGTGGCGACGATAGTCAGTGCTGGAGTAATAGCGACTGCGAGGAGAAGCAGAATGTCGTCCCGCTGAGCGATCCGTATTTCTACATCGACAACAATGATGCTGCAGACACTGATGGAGGGCTTCTCACGGCGCAAAACAGAGCGTAGTATTATCAGTACTCTACCTTGCCAGATGACGCCAAGCTGGCTGCTGCCTGTGCTGAGAAAGGGGATACCTAAAAACTCAAACCGGCTGAACGCTTTCGGGCAACATCTTCACGTGCTACAAAACGCGAGTATTCGCTCATATCATTGAAATACAATTATGCTGAAATCATGGTCTGAGTGAAAGTGTGCAAGAGAGTGGATGTCTGTGGTATTGGTGAGCACATCTATCAGTATGGCAAGCTTTGTCACAACGCTCAAACTACCAGCACAGAGGTCCCTGAACACAATTTGGAAGGCCAGCCACCAATCATCGTTTTGCACTCTGGTGTTGTAAAGAAGGTAGTGATGTATACGGAATATCGTCACACTTCTGAACAACTCATGCCTGCAGCACCAAGAGGGCAAGCCTGATTTGCATTCTATTTACTTACATGTACCTGTTCCACATCACAATCAGAAACTGTAGGATCAACTTGCATGGAATCACTAGGCATGGATGCTGCGCCAACTGTACGGAATCTTGACCTGTGTGACTTCAAACTCTATTTTCCATGCTTTCGCTTATCAGATTGTCATCAAACTTGATAACTTGAATGATTAATAGTGTAGAAACAATTTGGAGGGAAAAAATAATTTTTGAAAAAATTACACATGTTCAGGTTTCTGCTGGCTGGGGCTCATATAGGATTTAGCAAATTAAGAGATAGTGCAGTGGCGATGGCAGACAAAGTTGCTTCCAAATTTCACAAGAGTTTGCCAAATATAATGCTCAAGGGTCCTCTGGTTTCACAATCATGTCAAGATACTTACTTCTCAGGTAAGAGAGTGTCCCGTCCACCAACACAACATCTTGGTTCCACTGCACACCATGCTTTGACCATTGTGTGAAATGCGCTGGGCCGGCAAGAGAGAGAGAGAGAGAGAGAGAGAGAGAGAGAGAGAGAGAGAGAGAGAGAGAGAGAGAGAGAGAGAGAGAGAGAGAGAGAGAGAGAGAGAGAGAGAGAGAGAGAGAGAGAGAGAGAGAGAGAGAGAGAGAGAGAGAGAGAGAGAGAGAGAGAGAGAGAGAGAGAGAGAGAGAGAGAGAGAGAGAGAGAGAGAGAGAGAGAGAGAGAGAGAGAGAGAGCAAACACACGGAAAAGCAAACAAAGGTAAATATAATGACAAGGCAACGGGAAAAACCTTGGAGAACAGGAGAAAACACGAGGGCAACGCATACACAAGAGGGCAATGACGAAAATGGACACAATATCATTACTTTCCAGTTTGCAAATACTAGTGCTGCTGTAATGTTACCTGGGTGGAACAGTTGCCAGTCGAGATCGCTGCGTGGTGCGGAAAAGATCACAGTCATCTTCAATTCCCCTACACAGCACAGCACAGCACACACACACACACATGCGCATGAAAGCAAGAGATCATACCAGCAATCCTAATTTGGCGTATGTACAATTCGCCGCATGCTCAAGCTCTCTGCATAACCATGCTGGCTGTAGCTCTCTGCATAACCATTGTTCCAGTAGATCCCGTAGGTTACCGTTTGCTAGGTCGATGTATTGTGTGCTGACCCGGCACATGTGAGCATGATGCTAGTACTGACTAGACACTGTTAGGACCTGTCTAGACATGCGATTGTCTGTACCGTAGCATTAATCTAGTACATGCATGGCATGCAATACCTGCTGGATCATATGACGGAACTGGTTTGCTGATTGGCTGTAGGTCTGTTCGCTTTATCAGCTGTGCTTTTGTGATAGTACCAGTTTCACTTTGGGGAGGAGAGAGTTTTTTTGTCTCTTTGGAAAGCAGAGTTTTTTTGTCCTGGAGAGAGGACAATAGCAGAGTTGGTATGTCCGTGCCAAGGCACGATGATGTGTGCATACTATTAGTCTAGAGATTTTCGTTCAGTTACGAAGAACAGAAATAAATACAGTCTTCTTTGGAGTCCAGATTCCGTGACCGAACAACTGGTCCTTCGAGCCGGATTCGAGTCCGAGGCAGTAATCGGAGTCGATGGAAAAAAGAACGAGCGTCAGGTCGACGAAGGGTAAGCCTCCTTCGCGATATGGAGAGTGGGATAGTGTCTCCCAAGTTTCCAAGAAATCCAGTAAGGAAGCCGAACTGGAACTCGCGGCCAGGATACGCGAGAGAGAGTTGCAAGCTGCTGAGGAATTAGTCCAGCTGGAGGCTGAGGCGGTCGAAAAGAGATTGGAACTCAACAGAGAGTTGGTGACCAAGCGATTGGCTGCAGACAGAGCAGCGCTGGAGTTGGAGCTCTCAGAGAAAGGCTCCACCGCGAGCAGCCGCAGGAGTCGGAGAGATGAAAGTGCACGGAGACTGTCCCACGCAGGTGTTGGACAAGGGCTCACGACAGAAGCACTCGTGCGCCATCATCAACTCCTTGAGAAGCTCAAAATTACCAGCGCAGAGTCTGGGAGAGCAGGGCGCGCCTTCAGCGTGGTGGACGCAGTTGACATCCAGCCGGCCAAGCCAAGACAAACACCAGCTGGTAGTCTGCCTCCATGCATGAGTGCTGTGGATGTGGAACGAAGAAGCCCCCAGAGCTGGCTACCAAGTAAGACCAAAACAGTGGAAGTGGAAGCTGGTCGAAGTGAGGGACTGCCATCCACAGTGACACATGCACAGTCCATTGTCATTGATGGTCCAGTGAGCAGCGACAGCGCTAGCAGCAGTCAAGTACATGCAGGTATGTCTGGTGATAGTGCAGTGAATCCTGTGGTGCAGAGTAACAGTTTTGCCCCAGTAGCTGTGGCTAATACTAGTAACAACGCACAACACAGACCAGGAAAGATGGTCACTGTGCAGTCCAGCTTTGCACCATTCACCACAACTAGTCTGAAGCCACAACTGCCCCAAGGCCCACAGTATCAGACACTAGCTAACCAGAAGTATCACCCTGCTGTGACATCTCAAGTGCAGCCAAGTAGCTACACAGTCCAGCAGAAAGTGCCTAGCCAGCTTGGACAGGCCAGAGTAGTGAGTGCAAGAGGTCAATCAGCCAGACCCGCAGCCAGAATCCTGCAACTACTTTCTACTCACCGTATGTACAGCAGCAAAGTGCACCAGCAGCTGCACAGAGTCATTTGGCTACGCAGTGTAGTCAGCCAGATGGACGACGTCCATATACATCACCAGCTGCGAATCCTGCAACTTTCTACACGCCATATTATGTACAGCAAAGTGCACCAGCAGCTGCACAGAGTCAGTTGGCTACGCAGTATAGTCAGCCAGATGGACAACGTCCATATACGTCACCAGCTGCTTACCCTCATGCCGGGACATACAGATCCCATTTGAAGCCGTTGAAGCTACCGCAGTTTGACGGAGCGCCAGTGAACTATGTCCCTTGGAGACAGAAATTCATGAGTTTGGTGGGAACAGACCCCCACACAACTGAGCACTACAAGATGGCGAGACTGAGAGAGTCACTCGCCGGAGGGAGTGCCGAGGAACTCGTCCAGGACATTATGGACGGAACAGGCGCCTTTCAAGCAGCATTGGTGGAAATAGAAGCCTGGTATGGCGGTGAGGAGCGACAACTTGAGCGTCACGAGAAAGATATCCTGACGTGGCCCAAGATTGACAACGCTAAAGCCACCGACAAGCTAAAGAAGTTTGCTCTAAAGCTGCGGAGTACCCTGGTCAACATGAAGTCGTGTGGCATTGCTCCCGGCCGTGAACTGTACCTAGCAGCAACCCAGAAAATACCACCGACCCTCCTGCTGAGGTATTTTGAGCTGCACGAGGACCGGAACTGCGATGTTTGCAACTTTGCAGACTGGCTACTGAATCTGGTTCATATGCTGAGGAAGGTAGAGGAGAGGCAGGCAGAGACCCACAAGACACCCACATCAACGGCAGTGCTGCAGAAGTCACAAAGCCGACACGATCATCGACCACATAGAACGTTGGCAACTACAGCAGGAAATGAGACGCCAAAGGCCAGATGCAAGAAGTGCGGAGAGGGCCACGGCTTAGCTGACTGCCGGGCATTTGCCACCTTGTCAACAGCAGACAGGTGGAAATTCGTTAAGCCGTTGAATGTGTGTACCTGCTGCCTGCGCGTTGCTGGCCATCGTTCTGCTGAGTGCAGGAGCAACCCATGTGCTAAGTGCGGTGGAAAACACCATGACATGCTCCACATTGTGAGACAACAGCAGAGCTACAGCAGGAAGACGGACAAAGAGCCAGCCAGCATGAATCAAAGCAATCGACTGGACAGTCCACAGCGAGGCGGTGGATCACGTGAGAAGCCACAGCGTCCATCCGACACAGCAGCGACGGCCACAGCAACCACCTGCACTGCTAACACCGGGGTCCATGTTGCATTCATGACTGTGCCAGTCAAGCTGCAACACCAAGACCAGATGTATGATGCAGTGGCACTGATTGACTCGGCATCATCGACCAGCTATATCAGGGCTGACGTTGCTGAGAGCTTGGGTGTCAGCGGGCCAGATGAGCAGCTCACCACCTCAGTCCTAGGCGGAACGACAGTAACAGGCCGCCGGCAGAGAGTCAACCTGACCATCCACAGTCATGATGGTGACTACAGCACGGCGTTCCAAGCATGGACCCAGCCCGACATCACAGCTCCGCTACCGGCCGTTGACTGGCATCAGATGAGCCAACAATTCCCCCACCTCCAGCAACTACCGCTACCACAGGTCGACTCGCGGCAGGTAGACATCCTGATTGGTATCGATGTCATTGAGGTACACCGAGTGCTGGAGGAGGCCACTGGGCGCGCGGGAGAGCCCATTGCACGCCGTCTACCACTCGGCTGGGTTTGCTTTGGGCCGGTGGACATGCCGACGAGTGCCACATCCGAGTGCACGCTGCACGCATCTGCAGTATGTGAGCCATTGCTCGATACGCTGGTCACTAAGTTCTGGGAGGATGACCAGGTGGGCATGCAACCACAATCTGACAAGACGATGGCTGAGATAGAAGCAGAGCACCTCGTGGCTGACAGGATGAAAATCACTGATGGTCGTGTCACGACAGGCATCCCTTGGATTCGGCCAGACCACCAGCCACAGCTGCCGCCAAACCGAGCCATGGCAGAGAAGCGGCTGATCAGCCTCGAGCGATCTCTTCTCAAGAAGCCGGACATCCAAGCAGAGTACGACAGAGTCTTCCAATCATACATCGACAAGGGATATGTGGTCCGCTGTGAGGATAGTGCCGCCAGAGACGGTGACCAATGGCTACTACCGCACTTTCCTGTCGTGCGCCACGACAAGGCGACCACGAAAGTGAGGGTTGTCTTCGATGCAGCAGCTCGTCAGCGGGGTGTGTCTCTCAATGATGAGATGTACACTGGTCCGAAACTGCAACATGACCTGATTCACGTCCTACTCAGGTTCTGCCGTGAACCGGTTGCGATCGTAGGAGACATTGCAGAGATGTTCCTGCAGGTCCAGCTACAACAGCAAGATCGGCGGTACGTACGCTTCCTGTGGCGCAAGTCGACAGACGAGCAACCATCCATTTACGAGTTTACTCGACTCGTGTTCGGACTGAAGGCATCACCGTTCATCGCCTGCCGAGCTCTGAGGGAGGTAGCCGCACAGCATGGGGAACAGTACGACTCAGCAGACAGCAGCCCGAGCAGCGGTCGAGGAATCGTTCTACGTTGACGATTTCCTGAACTCACAACCATCAGTACCAGCCGGCATCTCAGTACGGCAGGGGGTGCAGGACCTGCTCCACATGGGCTCGTTTCACCTGCGGAAATGGCGCAGTAACAGCCGTGACGTGCTCCGTTCTATCCCGGAGGCCGACCGAGCAGCCGACGCACTGGTGAGCATCGATGATTGCAGCGACGCCGCATCAGCTGCAGTCGTGAAGACGCTTGGTGTCGTGTGGGACGCAGCGTCTGACACGTTCAGCTATCGCTACAACACACCGGACGACCAGCGGCTGACGAAACGAAGCGTCCTATCCAAGATGGCCAGCATCTATGACCCAAGAGGGCATATTTCGCCGTTTACGATAAGGGCTCGACTGCTGTTCCAGGAGGCATGCATTCTCGGCTGTTCCTGGGATGACCGTCTCCCATCAGAGCTGGAGACCAAGTGGCAGAGGTGGTTTGCAGAACTACCAGATCTAGCTGGGATCAAAGTGCCACGATGCTTCAAAAGCATGGAGCGCCAGGCTGACACCGCGAAGCTCACAGTACATACCTTCACCGATGCCTCGGCGCACGCCACTTCAGCTGTCAGTTATGTCCGCGCGGCGTATCCGGATGGTTTTGTGAAGGTCAGCCTTGCATTCGCCAAGGCGCGGGCAACCCCAATCAAGAAAGTCACCATCCCTAAGTTGGAGTTGCGAGGTGCAGT